TGATTTATTTTTCCCTCTCCTCATTTTATTTTTTTTTTTATTTTTATTTTTTTTAAATTTTTTTTTTAACATTTATTTATTTTTGAGACAGAGAGACAGAGCATGAACGGGGGAGGGTCAGAGAGAGGGAGACACAGAATCTGAAACAGGCTCCAGGCCCCGAGCTGTCAGCACAGAGCCCGACGCGGGGCTTGAACTCACAGACCGCGAGATCATGACCTGAGCCAAAGTCGGCCACTTAACCGACTGAGCCACCCAGGCGCCCCATCCCTCTCCTCATTTTAGATGAAATCATGTGGCCCGAAGGGGATGAGGCCCTTCCAGCAGATGCCCAGGACCTCATCACCAGGCTGCTCCGACAGAGCCCACTGGACCGTCTGGGCACTGGTATGTGGACGTGGGATGGGGAGAGGCTGCATAGAGAAGGGGGACTTGGGGCTGGGGTTTTGAAGGACGCACAGGAGTTCACTGGGAACTAGCGTAAGACCTTGAAGGAATAGCGGGTATCTGGGTCGGATGCAGACAAGGGGCACTGAGGCTGAGTGAGAGCCTACAAGGTCACCGTGGGGTATGTCCTAAGGTCCTCAAAGGCCCAGCCCAGTGGATCCCACTGTTCAGATTCCCCAGCCACCTAATTAACGGTTAAAGGACTACTCGAGACTCACGCAGCCACTACAGGTTATGTCCGTGAGGAAGCTTAGCCACTGGAGAGGACCACAGGGGCTGAGGTTGGGGAACGGGATGCCTTCACGCAGTCAGCTCTCTGCTCCGTGGAGTAGAAATGCATAGAAAAGGCTGGAAAGAAAGCCCTCCTAGGGCTTTGGGATCTCAGAATCCAGCAGAGGAAAGAGCAGGGCCTGGGGGCTAGCCCCAATTCTGTCTGTCTTCAGGCTCTTAAACAGCGGCTGTTCCCCTCGCCATCTTTATGGCTCTGTGTTGGCCAGGATGGGGCTCAAATTTGGCCCAGGGGGCAGTGGGGGACAGGGACACACAGGGCTGAGCCAGGCATGTGTTGGCAGGTGGCACCCACGAGGTAAAACAGCACCCCTTCTTCCGAACACTGGACTGGGCAGGGCTTCTGCGACACAAAGCTGAGTTCGTGCCACAGCTCGAAGCTGAGGATGACACCAGCTACTTTGACAGTAAGTGGGGGGGGGGGGGTGTCAAGGGGGTGGGCTCTGCTATCCCACAAGCCCCTGAGGCGGGGAGGGGATGTCTGCCAGGGTCTCCACCCAAGCACCTCGCCCTGGACCTGGAGCTTCTGACTTCCGGAGGTTTCTGAGTAATCAGAGCATGTCTGCCGGCAGCTGCCCCCTCCCTGGCTGGGATTTCCTGTGCCTCTGGGGTCCGGAGGCCACGGCATCCTCTTGGGTTGTGGGAGGGGAAACCAAGGCACTGAGTGTGGCAGACCCTTGCCTGGCGTCCCTAGCAGGTTCAGCCTCCTGAGCGTCCAGCCCTGACCAAGGACGGTGCCTCATCTGTCACACGGGAGGGAGGGGCGCTTCGCTTTGCCTTGTGGAGGGAGCCCCTCCGACATTGTGGGTGGGCTCAGACAAGTCTTCCTCTGCCTACTTGGGGCTCCAGCCACACAGGTTAAATGCTCTAGGCTTCCAGCACCTCCTCTAGAACTTGCTGTGTGATCTTGGGCGTGTCAGAGGTCCTCTCTGAGCAGCTGTTTCCTGTTCTGTAAAGTGGGGAGCATCCTTTATGTTTAAGATGCACACGATCACCTAATTCTGGGTGACCCATCTCAAGGGCGAGGCTCCCGAGGGTCAGACACAAGAATCCCCACCCACAGTCCCACGGTTTTTAGGGACCCAGCTGGAGTTTTTCGGCCAGGTCCTCACTCTGCCAACTCAAGCCTCCCGTGGCCCCTAAATACACCAGACACAGCCCCACCTCAGTGCCTTTGCCCTGACCGTGTCTCCCCACCCCGGGACGCCCTCCCCAGATCACCCCACAGCCCTCACGGCCGCCTCGGGGCATCGGGTGGGCTGTACGTGCCTTTCCGTCCTGCAGCGCGCTCGGAACGCTACCGCCACCTGGGCTCCGAGGACGAGGAGACCAACGACGAGGAGTCATCCACGGAGATCCCCCAGTTCTCATCATGTTCCCACCGGTTCAGCAAGGTGGGCCCGGGGACCTAGCTACGGCACTGGGGATGTTGCAAAATGTTGGTTCGAGGTTGGGGGCGGGGTTCTGCTGCTTTCTGTCGTGATGGTGGTTGAAATACGTATGAAATATACCATCAGAGCCGTTTGATTGATTGATTGATTGATTGATCGATTGGGGGGGGGCGGGGTAGAGTTTTTCCCTTTAACGAAATGACCTTGGAAATGACGTACCTTTCCGTGACGCCAACGCTACGGTTTTCGGAGTCACGGTAAGATACGCAGAATTGCATCCATAATTAACGTGAATGCCAACACTTCAAGCAGTGACTTCAGTTACGTGGCGAACACAGTCAAGAAAGCAGCCACCGGACAAACGTGGGCTCCTCTCCTGCCTCCCCCTCTTCCCGGGAGGTGGCGGCAGGGGCAGCTGCAGCGGCAGAGGTCAAAGGGGTGGCGCCCCATCGTAGCCATTTTAAACTACAATTCGGTGGCATTCCGCGCATTCATAAGGTCGGGACACCCATCACCTCTGGTTCCAGAACGTTCCCATCATCCCAAAGGGAACCCCCGATCCCGTGGGCAGTCACTCTCCTTCCCCTCTCCCCCAGCCCCGGGCCACCCGCAGTCTGCCTTCTGTGTCTGGTGTCTTTCACTCAGTTGGATGTTTTCAGAGTTTACCCACGGTATCGTGTGTGCAGGGCTTCGTTCCTTTTTGTGGCTGAGTAGTGTTCCACTGTGTGGACGGACCACGTTTTGTGTACCCATCCGTTGGTGGACACTTGGGTCGTTTCCACTTTTGGGCGACTGTGACCAGTGCTGCTGTGCTGGGTGCCGCATTTTATAGCCTCACAAGCTTAAGTTTCCTTCCTTTGTTTCTAATTTGATGAAGAAAACCTTCCCTGCTGCTTGTGGGCCTGGGCCCCAGGCAGAGCGTCCTGATCAGGAGCAGAAACCCTGGCTGCAGCCCCCTTGGTAGCCGGGCCCCTTCGAACCTTAGTTTTTCCGTCTGTACAGTGGGCGTCTTTACTCTGCTGTTTTTAGGGATGTGGTGAGTCTGGGTTTAAGGAAGTGACTCACAGGGAAGCACGGGGCATATAGGAAGCACTCAACTAAGCTCACTCTTTTTCCTTTTTTTTTTTTTTTTTTTTTTTTTTTTGAGAGAGAGAGACAGAGAGAGAGCGCGTGTGTGTGTGTGAGTTGGGGAGAGGGGCAGAGGGAGAGAGAATTCCAAGCAGTCTCCACACCCAGCGTGGAACCCGATGCCGGGCTCGATCCCACAACCCTGGGATCGTGAGTCGCACTCGTGATTAGTAACACCAACTGTTACTACTGTTTTCTGTTTCTTCCAGGTCTACAGCAGCTCCGAGTTCCTGGCCGCCCAGCCCACGCCAACCTTCGCCGAACGGAGCTTCAGCGAGGACCGGGAGGAAGGGTGGGAGCGCAGCAGCGAGGGCGAGTATGGCCGCCGCCTGAGCATGGATATTCGGTAGGTGGGCTGGAGAGTATGAGCAGATCCAGCTTCCGAGCCTGCCGGGAGGTGGAACCACAAAATCTAACACTGCAAGGAGCTTCCCGGTGGCCCAGGAGAAAAGGGTCAGACACACTGGCTAGCCTGTCAGACCCCTGCCAGCGTGGCCCCTATCACTGCTGCCTCTGGCTTTGCGTCCCTTACCACAGCAGGCATAAAGCAGCCGTGCACTGTCCTACTGCCAGGCTTCTGCTTGCTCCGTTCCCTCTGCCAGCATACCCTTCGCTAACAAACTCCTGTCCGTTCCTCAAAGACCAGACTCAACAGAGATAATCAATGCCTACTAGAGGATGAGCATCGGAAGCTGGGTTTTAAAAAACGCCAATTCTCTGGGCAGAGGACGGGGCAAGCAGAGGGAACTCACCCTGTATTTACGAATTCCCTCTGGTTCTGGGCTGAGTGTTCAAATCTGGCTGCCAGGGGTAACTGGGTGTCCCGGGGCGACGGCGCCTGGCAAGTGTGACTTTGGCCCTTCCCTGCAGCAGCCTGAGGTCCTGGACATCCTCTGGTACTTCCTGTCCGTCGTCTTCCCAGCCCGAGCGGGGCCCCAGCCCGTCTCTCTTGAGTACTATTAGCCTGGACACGATGCCCAAGTTTGCCTTCTCGTCAGAGGATGAGGGAGCCAGCCCAGCCTCTGCGGGCCCCAAGAGGCCCATCTTCATTCTGGGGGAGCCCGATCCACCCCCAGCAGCCACCCCAGTGATGCCCAAGCCCTCAAGCCTTTCTGGTAGGTGAGGTCCAGGGTGGGCGGGATAGTGTTGTAGAAAGTTTCCCAGAGGGACTATTTGAGATGGGTTTTGAAGGATAAGTAGGAGCTCCCCAGAGAGACCATTCGCCTAACAAAGGCTTTAAGATAGGAGAGGCCAGGGCTCCCAGAGAATCCTCGAGCCTCAGCTTGTCTCCCAGTCTAGGGGTGATACCCCCAGCTTCACTGGGTCAGGATGGGACTGGAGAGGGGGGTGAGACCGCAGAGCTCTGAGGGGTGCTGGGGGTCTGACGGGTGGGAGAAGGCTGCTTAGAGGAAGGGACTTGCAGGGTGGAGCTTTCCAGGGAGAGCAGTGCAGAAAGGAAGTATGGAAAGAGAGAACCCTCTAAAGAAAGGCCAGGTAGGGGCCCCTGGGTGGCTCAGTCGGTTGAGCGGCCGACTTCGGCTCAGGTCATGATCTCACGGTCCCTGAGTTCGAGCCCCGCGTCGGGCTCTGTGCTGACAGCTCGGAGCCTGGAGCCTGTTTCACATTCTGTGTTGCCCTCTCTCTGACCCTCCCCCGTTCATGCTCTGTCTCTCCCTGTCTCAAAAATAAATAAAACGTTAAAAAATTAAAATTAAAAAAAAAGAAAGGCCAGGTAGCCAAACTAGGGTCCACGCTGACCGGGGAGGAAGGGGCTCTGCCTGCCGAGGGCAGAAGGACTGAGTGGTGAGACTGGCCGGGCTGACCCCCAACCCTGCTGACCCCTAGCTGACCCAGCCGCCCTCAGCCACGCACGCCTACGGAGCAACAGCATCGGTACACGGCACTCGACACCACGGGCCTTGGATGCTGGCCGAGGCCGCCGCCTTGGGGGCCAAAGAGACCCAGCTCCCGAGAAGTCTCGGGCCTCCCCCAGCGGGGGCCGTGTGCCCAAGTCCGCCTCAGTGTCCGCCCTGTCGCTCATCATCACGGCCGGTAACGCACGTGGCCCAGCCTCGTCTTTGCTTTGTCCGTCCACGTCTGTTGTAACCGCGGGGCTCGGGCTGTGCCACAGGAAGGGGGAAGGAGCGAGACACGGGGAGAGCTGGGGGGCCGGCATTCCTGGCGGAGGGCACTGCATGTGCAAAGGCCTGATTGGGGGACCGTGCCTGGGACACTGGAGCAGCAGCAAAGCAGCCAGAATGGTCAGCTTGGTGGGAAGGGGAGGTGCCCTCCCCACCCTCGTCCCTGCGAGGGAGTGACCCCCCCCCCCAACCCGTGTCCTTGCAGATGATGGCAGCGGCGGCCCCCTCATGAGCCCTCTGTCCCCACGCTCACTGTCCTCGAACCCGTCGTCCCGAGACTCCTCTCCAAGCCGAGACCCGTCCCCCGTGTGCGGCAGCCTGCGGCCCCCCATTGTCATCCACAGCTCGGGCAAGAAGTACGGCTTCAGCCTGCGGGCCATCCGCGTCTACATGGGCGACAGCGATGTCTATACCGTGCACCACGTTGTCTGGGTGAGCTGGCCTCGGGGTGGGCAGGAACAGCGGGACTTGGTTTGAGTCTAGCTTCACCCTGGCAAGGCACTTCACTTTGGGAGCCGCGTTTTCTAGTCTTGGGAAAGCAAGCTCATTGGCTGAAAGGTTTTGGAGCCCAGGGCAGGGAGCTGGTGCCACCTGGGTCTTTGCAGCCCCTCTTACTTAGGGGGAGGGGGTTGGGCAAGACGGACAGGGATGGACAGAGGGGTAGAGACCTCAGTTGGGCACGAAGCTCCCGCCCCACACCCGCAGATGCACCCTGGGTGTGATGTCCTGCCTCCCCCCAGCCCAGGGCCCGTTCCCTCCCTGCCAGCACCCAAGGTCAAGGAAACCACGTGAGTGGCAGCAGCTTGCTGGGGTCCCACAGCTGACCCAGCTGGGCCGGGGTCTCCAGCTGTGGGTCCCAAGCCCCCTGACCCTACCATCCACCCCCAGAGCGTGGAGGAAGGCAGCCCTGCCCAGGAGGCGGGCCTGCGAGCTGGGGACCTCATCACCCACATCAACGGGGAGTCAGTCCTGGGTCTGGTGCACATGGACGTCGTTGAGCTGCTGCTGAAGGTTCAGCCCCCCATCTTCCCACCCTTGGGACTTCCAGACCCCCACCCCACTCTGCCTACCCTTGGGGCTCCCAGAATCCCCACGTCCCGTCCATCCTCAGGGGCCCAGGTCTGCCCCCACTGCTTTGCTCCTGTGACCCCTCAGCTTTTGATCCTGAGGTTCTCCCCTCTGGAACCACACCTTTCCACACCTGGTCCCACCTCCAGGCCTTGCATGTCCCCTCCCCTCTGCCCAGGACGTACATCCTCCTTTGCCCCCTGGGTGCCCCTACGTTTGGCCCTCCTTCTGGCTCACCCTGGCCTTATGAGGCTGGGGGTGTCCGTATTATCTTTATCTTCCTCAGGGGGGCTGAGGCCTGGGGGTGGGGAGGTGGGCCCAGGCCAGGAGGCAGGGCCTTGTTTGGAGAGCTCCTAGGACCGGTGGGTGGACAGGTGGGCAGCTCATTGCATGGATGGGCAGATGACGGACATGCATCTTTGGCCCAGTGAGTGGCAGGTCAGTAGGCGAGAAGTGGGTAGATAGGATCTGGGGCTCTGACGGATGAAGAAGTGCGTGGGGGGCTTGCTAGGTGGGAGACACACAGGTGACCCCCTCGCCATCCCTCCTGCAGAGCGGCAACAAGATCGCCCTGCGGACAACAGCCCTGGAGAACACCTCCATCAAGGTGGGCCCCGCCCGGAAGAACGTGGCCAAGGGCCGCATGGCTCGCAGGAGCAAGCGTAGCCGCCGGCGGGAGACCCAGGACCGGTGAGCGACGGGTGGGCCTGCGCGGAGTGCTGCAGAGGACCGGGAGCAGGCTCCCTAGACTGCTGGGGACAGGGGTTCTGACGCATCGGGTCTGTCCCCCTCAGGCGGAAGTCGCTCTTCAAGAAGATCTCAAAACAGTCCTCTGTGCTGCACACCAGCCGGAGCTTCTCCTCCGGCCTCCACCACTCCCTGTCGTCCAGCGAGAGCCTCCCGGGTTCGCCCACTCACAGCCTCTCCCCCAGCCCCACTACGCCTTGCTGCAGCCCAGCTCCCGAGGCCCCCGCAGGTAGGTGTGCCCCCCCCCGCCCCGCCCCGGGGCCACCCTGGGGCTGCTCAGGTCTGTGGGGCCTGACCCCGGTGGGGACGCTGGCGGGGTTTACAGGAGGGAATGACATGACATAGGAAGTGAGGAGACCAGAAGGGCCTTTCCAGTCGCTTGGGGTCTGAGGGGCAGCCTGGAAGTGGGAGGAGAGAGGTGGGAGAGCAGAGAAGAGAGTACCCGGCAGAGGGAGCATCGTGGACCAAGGGGGCTAGGCTGCAGGGTTGTGAAAGCAGGGAGAAGGCTGGGAGGGAGGAAGTTGGGAGATGGGTCAGGCCAAGGAGCTGGGAGGGAGGAAGTTGGGAGATGGGTCAGGCCAAGGAGCTGGGCTTAAACTGGTGGGCAGCTGGGAGCTATGGAGGGTGTGTGAGCTAGAGAGGGCATGTTTTAGAAGGGTCTGCGTTTTAGAAAGATCATTCCGGGGCAGGAAAGGATGGGGCCCAATGTCTGTGAGAGACAGCCAGGTGCAGACACCCCTAGGCTCACTGGGTCAGCATCCAGTGATGGGAGGACCAGGCTGGGGCACCCCTGAGGGGAAGCAGGGAAGGCCTCCTGGAGGAGGCCCCTGCTCCAAGAAGCCCTCTCTGCCCCCTCTCTACCCTGACTTCGAGGGGCTGAGGGTACCTGTGCCACCTTCCCTTTCCTCAGACCAGGTATCCTCTGCAGCTGAGGCTTGGGGTGGAGGGGCGGTCACGGGGCAGATGGCGGATGCGTACCTTTGGCCCATTGAGGGGTAGGTCATTAGATGAGAAGTGGGTGGATAGGAACTAGGGCTCTGATGGATGAGTAGGAGTTCACCAGATCTAAGCCAAGGGAACACCTTGCACACATCACAGGAGGCGAGAAAGGCAGGCATACTGGGTGGCCGTAGGCAGAGACGTGGGCTTTGGCAGGCGCTCTCAGGCCCAGGGCCCCACACGACAGGGCTGGGGACATGCAGGCCGGTGGCCCTGACCCTCATCTATCACCCACAGACACCGCATCCCCTCCCAGTGCATCCCCGAGCTCCAGCAGCCCTGCCTCTCCTGCCGCCGCTGGCCACGCCCGCCCTAGCTCCCTGCATGGCCTGGCCGCCAAGCTCGGGCCACCCCGCCCCAAGGCCGGCCGCCGCAAGTCCACCAGCAGCATCCCGCCCTCCCCACTGGCCTGCCCCCCGGTGCCCGTGCCCCCACCCCGCTCACCCTCGCCCCTCCCCGGGCACCCACCTGCACCCGCCCGGTCTCCACGGTTGCGCCGGGGCCAGTCGGCTGATAAGCTGGGTTCGGGTGAACGGCTGGATGGGGAGCTGGGGCGCCGCGGCCGCGGGCCAGACTCGGAGCTGGTAGTCATGCGGCGGCTACACCTGTCCGAGCGCCGTGACTCCTTCAAGAAGCAGGAGGCCGTGCAGGAGGTGAGCTTCGATGAGCCACCCGAGGAGGCCGCCGGGCCGCTCACCTCTGTGCCGCAGATTGCCGTGGAGGGCGCCGAGGCTGTGCCAGGAGCCCTTGGTCCTGCCGGGAAGGACTGATCCCTCCCACCCGGCCTCCCCCTGGCCTAGAAGTTGGGCTTTTTCGTGTGCAATGTTTTTTCCGTCAAGCGACTCTTGGATGGAGACTGAGCCACCAGACTGTGACACCTGGAAGGCGAGAAGCCATCTCAGTCCTTACCGGAAAGTAGAGACAGCACCTCCTTCGTGTTCCGGTGCAGATCAGGGGCCGTACGTGGGGGCAGGAATGGGGGACAAGGGTGGCATTGTAAATAGCAGCAAATCCCTGCGACTAATTTATTACTTTTTATAAGCGATAGGTAGACTGAGCCACCACTGTGAAGGTGGCTGCCCGGGTCCTGCCCCTTGCACCTGGGACCCCATTTGCAGACGCTGCCCCCTGGGCTGAGAAGGAAGCACTTTGGACAAGTTACGTATGTTTGTGTTTTCTAGGTTTTCTGTATGTTTTAGTTTTGTGTGTGTGTTCCTTGATCCCATCCTGGCCCAGGACCCACTGACCTGAGGGGATACAGGCAAGCTTACCTGTCCGGGCCCAATGCGGATAGGACTTGGAGAGTCTGTAAACGATTCCCCTCCACCACAAAACAAAGCAATCCCGATGAGGGACTGGACGCTGAAAGCTACGTCTCACGGTCATAGCCTCGATCCGTAGGCCAGTCTCGCTAGAGTTCGTTTCTAGTCCTGAAGGCTTCAGCCCGGGGGAGGGGGTGTGGGACCTGGGACCTTGATGGAGGAGCAGAGAGGTCACCCACTCCACAGGGGGACACTGATGCCCTGGGGTGGGGAGGGAGGCGCAGGCCTCGAAGGGTACTACTGCCAGGGCAGGGGAAGAACGTCCACCCTGGACAAGATTTCACGTGCTCAGTGCCCACCAGGGTGAGCCCTTGACCATGATGTGTCTGAAACACCCTACGAGGGTTCCTGCAACGTATCGCAGCCTTCCTAGAATGAAATTCGAGTGAGAAACCCAGCTGGGGGGCAGTGGGGCCCAAGTTTGAATCTTGGCTTCCTCGTGTGGCTCTGGGAAGATGGCTTTCCCACTCTGTGCCTCAGTTTCCTCGTGTTTACAAAACTAATCCCAATGACTATTTATTAAGCATCCGCCCCATGCCAGACGCTTTTACTCGTGGCTTCTCCCCCGGCCAGCCTTGCGGAGGCTGCAGGTGGCGGTGTCCTCCCCTTTTTACGGACACGTAACCGAGGCCTGGCGAGGGGTGGAGACGTGTCGCACGATCACCTGGTAAAAAAAATCACGCAGCCAGGCCCCGTCGTGGGCACTGTCGACAAGGGAGCTTGAACGGAGAGTCTGGTGTCGGATACAGCAGATCCACCTCCAGCTCTCTTCCCGGGCTGCTGTGTGACACACACTGGGTGTCTCAGAACCGCCACTTCCTCTGTGGAGGTGGCCCGCCAGATCCCTGCGCCCCACCTGATGAGGGCACTTTCCAGGCACGGTAGCCCACTCTGCATCCCTCCCAGAGACCCTCGCCCAGCACTGGCTGGTGCTGGAGCTAGACCAAGGCTGTGCATGACTTGTGCCCCCCACCCCCCTTCCATCCTGGAGCTGACCGTGAATAAAAGCCCACGTTTACAAAGAGGAGGCCCAACGTCTGGATTTGTGAGGGGCAAAGAAAGGGGTAAGGGGAGAGAGTGTGGTGGGGACGGGGTGAAAACGGACTTCCTTTGAAGGGGTTTTGAAGGTGGCACAGGGGTTCGCCAATGAGATTCTCCCTGATGTCTTCTCGGGTCCCTGGCCTCCTCCTGCCCTCTCCCCGAGTACCCATCATAGGCTCTGCTCTTAAAAGCTTCATCCGGACACCGATCTGGGGCCCCGAGCTGTGTTAATAAAACAAATAAAAAACATCTCTGTGTCCTTTCTATACAAGTCTTCGCTGGAACTGTGCCCTGTCCCCCCACAGTCCCCCACGCCGCACGCGAACCCACCCCAACTCCGTGTTTTTGGGTTACTTCTGGGCAGTACTACCAGAAGCCCCGGGCCACGCTTCCGAGTGTCTTCGGCTATTCCGGAAACAATCGTCCGTCTCTGGGTCCTCGTTGGGCGTGTTCCCGCGCTCGCTGCGCTGCAAATAGTTCAGCTGTTTCCGGACGCTCTGGGCTGCCATGGAAACGCTTTCAATCCCAGCTTATTTGGCTCTTTCCTGAAAAGCTCAGATTTCTGTGGCGAGCTCCCTTCCCATCCCACCGCCTCCTGCTCCCCGAGCTCGGGGCCGCCTCGCGCCCTTAGGACCCATCCATCAGTTCCGGAAACTGGTGGTCCATCCCTGGCTCTCGACTCACAGGGCCTCCCTCTGGGTCCGAGCACACGCGGTTCTTTGCAGAAACTGCAGTCTCGGGGCTCAGCCTCGGTTCCATCAGTCCCGCTGGGGGGAGACGCTCGGCGATTTCCGGAATCACTCGGTCATCTCGAAGCCCAGCCGGGCCCCGCCGAGCTTAGGGAAACGCTTAGCTGACGCGATTGCGCTCGGCTGTGTCCGGAAATGCTCGGCTATCTCGTGGCACCCTCTGCCCGCCAGTCCCGCGGGAGGATGTTCGGCTCTTTCCGGAAATGCTCGGCCATCCCGAGGCTCCGCCCCCGCCTCGCTTCACGCGCCTGGCCCGAACGCGCTCGGCCATTTCCGCCGGGGGTGGGCCCGGCTGTTCGGAACCGCGGCGGCTGTGGCGGAGGCGGGGATCCCGCGGCTGCGGCGACTGCGGCCGCGGCGGAGCCACGGGTCGGGCTCCGCTCCGTGTGACGGCGGCCGCGGCGGCGGTGGCGGCCGCGACCAGGTAAGTCCAGGCCGGCTGGCGTG